CGGCCTTTGGCTACCTACAGGCGATCTGGGGCTGGGACGGAAGCCACGCGTGACAGTGCCGCGCCGGGGCCTCTGCACCAGGGGCTCGGCCTTCGCTGCAGCCGGGAGTTGGGGAGATGCCGGCTGCAGGCCCAAAGAGAGAAGGGCTCTTCCGGGCCTGAGCTGACAGGCCAAAGGGAGCCATAGGCTTCCTCCGGGCCGGAGGGCAGCTTTCCCTCTGTGCGTCTCACCTGCCAGGCTGGGGCCGCACCTAGGAGGCCGAGCCGCCCAGGGCCCTCTCCTGTCTGCTCCAGGCGGTCCTGAATACCCTGCACTCCAATCAAATGCTTTCCACTTCATGATTTGTCCGATGCTACTGTTATTACTTACAGCATTATTACACCTTTTCCATTGAAGTGTAAATCAGATTTTTTATTGCTTTTATAAAGGTTTTAGCTGGGTATGGTGACAGATGCCCGTCTGTAATCCCAGCATTCAGGAGGTTAAGGAAGGGGATGGCAAGTTCAAGGCCCGACTGGACCGGAGTGGGAACCTGTCTCAAAGTACACAAACACAAACTTTTCATTTTCGGATACTTGGCTCAGATTTAATGAACGGGGAGTTCTAGTCAGTGGCAGCGGATAGACCGTTTCCCAGATTTTGGAGCTCAGTCCTGTGAGCTCACAGTCAGGACAGCCCCTTGCTGGACGAGGCTGGCCTGAGCACTGTAGGGCATCCGGCAGGCTCTCTGGCCTCTTCCTGCCCTGTGCAGATATTAGTACGTCACCTCGGAAGAAAACTTACCCCCAGCGAGAACTACTGCTTAATTTTTATGCCAAAAACTGGTAGTTGATGATACACTTATATTTATATTATTATATCTCTCTGGGCCCGAACTATAGCTGATGGACATGTTTGGAGCTCTTGCACCAGTGAATGTGACTATAATAACAGTGTCATGGGCTGGGGATTTAGCTTACCGCGCCTGCCTTGCAAGTGCAAGGTCCTGAGTTCAATTCCTGGTACTGCCAAAAAAAAAAGAGAACATCATAGATTCCTTATTTTTGTGTTTCTTAGGGCTGGGGATTTAGCTCAGTGGTGCTACGCCTGCCTTACAAGCCCAAGTTCCTGAATTCAATCTCCAGTGCCAAAAAGAAAGAAAGAAAGAAAGAACAGCATCTCAGCAAAGTAGTATTAATTAATACCTGCAGACGTTAATTAGATTTAGTCATGGGAAATGAGGTTTTAGGTGGAGACTAGAAAGGTAGAAGAGGGTTTTTCCTCTCCACACTCAATGGAAAGAAGGCGAAGGAGTTTAAGTTTCTAGTTTTCACGTCCAGCATCTTCCACAGCAGACTTCAGTTGCTGTTTAGAAAGAGTAGGTGGAGGGCAGGGATCTGGCTCAGTGGCACCGTGTCTGCCTCAATAGCACAAGGTGCTGAATTCTATCCCCAGCATCAAAAACAAAAGTTGATGATGAGGTGCTGGGGTGTAGCAACCACAGAGGTCCAGGCCAGCACATGCTGTCCTGTTGGTACCAGAGGTTCCTGGAATGGAGACTGGGGGTGGGGGGCAGTGGGGACACCTGGTTGCCAGGGTGATGAGTCAGAAGCTGGGTATCCAGGGGACGCTCCCTGGCAGCCGGGCCGTCCCGGCTGTGGACTCATGGCTGTCCCTCTAGTCACCTGGGCAAGAGAGCTGAGCGCTGGGCCCCAGCTGACCCGGAGCTCTGGGCTCGAGCCTCAGAGAGCACAGGTTGTGCCTGTTCCCAAGGTGCTGTCCCGCCTTGGCGTCTCTGGACTTGTGTCCAGCTGCTTGGCGTGGCTGCCCATGGCACCCCTGGGCTCAGAAGACACTGACCCTTGCTTGATGCTCCTCTTTGGCCTCTCAGGGCGTTTTTCTTAGCTTGTCAAAGAGGACCCGCATTTTCCTTTTTCCCGGGGCCGGGCTGGTGGAGTGGCCACCCCTCTGCTCACCATAGGTCTTTACTTCCTGAGGGTCAGCTTTAGCTCGTCCCCTCTGACACCCGGCCCAGCCGTCCTGCTCTGTTCCCAGAGGGGCTTTCTCTGCTGTCCACTTCTCCCCAGCTCGCCCTTTCTGGTCACACATTGGTGAGTACAGAAAACATTGTCTCCTGGGGCTTCCGTGTTAGTCGATGGAGATAGCAAGTAAGCATACCTGTCACTTGCCAGACATTAATAAGCACAATGGAGAGAAATCAAGGAGAAGATAGAGGGCCAGTATGGGCAGCTGTGGGTTAGCATGGGACAGCCAGGGGAGGACAGAGGGGAGGCCAGAGCCATGCGGGTACCAGCTGAAGAACGGTCCTGAGGAAGGGGTACAGAGAGGTGTGAAGGCCCCCGGGGCAGCAGCAGGATTGTCAACTTCCAGGAATAGTGTGGCTGGTGCTTCAGGTGCAGTGGGGAAGGGTTGGACCAGGTGACTCAGGGCCTTGGAAGCCATGTTAAGGGACGAGGCTTTCTCTCTGAGTTGGGACCTGCTAAGGACCGGTGTGGAGCTTAGGAAGCAGCCTGGGTCACTGCAGCTGCTGTGTTGAGACCAGGGTATGGGGTGAAGGGTTTCACTGTGATGTTAGTGGGAAGCTGGGTGCTGCGTCGTTTGCTGCTGCTCCTGAAAGCTCTGCTCCTTTGCTCTCTGTTCTGCCCTGGAGCTGGGCCTGTGGCCCACGCCAGACCAAAGCACCTGGAGAACAAGAGCTGGGCAGGCTGAGGGAGTATCTCTGTGCTCCAGGAGTGGTTTCCCTGGTGCCACTGCCCTTCCGTCACTCGGAGCTGCTGGCAGCTGGACCCAGCTACAAGGTGACACCGGCCAGAGGTGACATCATGGAAGCTGCTGCTTTCCTGCGGGAAGCTATTTGGGAGCCAGCACTTCGTCTGGTTCTGTTCCACATCTGCGAGCCCTGTGCTGGCCGGTGGATCCTCCGCAGTGGCCCGCACCCCCAGCACGCTGACTGTGCGCAAGTGGTGGCTCCGGAGTGAGGCAGGCCCCGCAGGACGGGGCAGGACAGGGCCCCCGGAGTGCGAGGCTGCAGGGTCTGTGGAGGCTGCCATCCCGGCTGGCCCCGACCCTGGTGGCCTGCACCCCCGTCTTCACCCTGGACCATGCATGGGCTTGGGCTTGGGCTTGGGCCTGGGCAGAGGTGGCTCTGGGAAACCGAAACTGTTGGGCTGGGTTGAGAAAGCATGACATCGGGTCCACCAGGACACGAACTTGCCCCGGCGGGAAGCTCCCCGCTGTGTTTGTCCCTGCTGAGACCCAGTGTCCAGAGACCCAAGGCCTGGGTTTAGCTGTGGCTTCTCCAAGCCCCGGCTCCGCCCAGAACAGAAACTGAAACCAGCAAGGAGGCCGCAGCGGGGCCGAGCTCTTCCCACGAACTTTCTGTCTGTCTGTGTATGACCCTGACAGCTTGTGCTCCCAGACCCGCCTCCCAGTTCCATTCCTAGGGCCTCCTCTTCCTCTTCACGGAGCCGCTGAGCCGAGTTGTTGCTTTGCGTGTTCCCCACACGGAGGTCCCTGGCCGGGGAGGAGCGGACAGCTGTACTTAGGGGGAATCAGCCCGGCAGAGGCTGCAGACCAGACAGAACCACCTGCCTGAGAGGGGCGAGGGAGGGACGGAAGAGCTCTCCTTCCTGCCCGTAATCGAGTCTCACCGTAAACTTTTCTAAAAAAGAGGTTTGCTGAGGTTTAATTATGCACCACCAAATTCCCCACTGTTAAGAGAAATCTCTAGTCGCACGTGCTTGCAGGTTGCTGGGCGTCCCTGATGCGTTTCAGCCCTTCCCCTGCCACTCCCTACTTCCCCCGCCCTTCTGACTCTTGGTCCCTTCCCTTTTGCAAAGGATCTAGCTCCCTGTTTTCTATTATTTATCTTTAACTTTGCTCTTTAAATTGGATATACTCTGGGTTTCTCATATGAGAGAAACTGTGTGGTATTTAAGGTGCATCTGATTTATTTCCTTCACCATTATGGTCTCAAGGTGCGTCCATTTTTCTACAAATGAGTCCAGTTCACCCTTCTTTATGGCAGAGCAGTGCTCCCTTGTGTATGAACACCGCGATTTCTTTATCCACTCATCGGCTGACGGGCACACAGGCTGCTTCCCAGACTTAGCTGTGAATTGTGCTGCTATCAACATGAGTATGTGTAGATCACTGTGGGTCAGTGGAACCTCCTGTCTCAGGTGTATAATTCAATCCCAGCATTTGAGAGGCTGAGGTAGGAGGAGCACTGTGAGTTTGAGGCCAGCCTGAACTGTATAGAAACACCCTGTCTCAAAAAAAAAAATCCCACAACAATAAAAAAAAATATACAGTTCAGTGATTTTTTTAAAATTAAATTTACAGACTTTCCCACCCATGACGGCAGTGCAGCTCTAGAAAGGTCCTCACCCTGCAGACTGATAGGTTCACCTTCCTGGCCGTTTCTTCTGCCCCCAGCAGTGTGGAGATAGAAGCCGCTTTTGCGGGGTGGAGCAGCCGTGGAGAGCTCTGCCTGTCCTGGCACCTGCGGGTCAGAGGCTTCTAGTACTTCAGGCTGCGTCGGTAGAAGGCTGCGTGGTAGCTGTGGTATAAACCCATGAGAGCTCACGGTGCCACGTGGAACCAGCTGTCATGGTTGGAGAATGGCAAAGAAGCTTCGAGTGTTTCGGTCACTGTGGCGTGAGGGACGGAGGCCTGGGCCAGGAGTCCTCAGGGACACACTCTCGCCTCTCTGCTGTGGACCCCGCTTTGCAAAGACGTTTGTGAATTTCCTCTGAAACAAGTTCCCCTTTACAAAGCTTGTTTACAGGGGAGCGCGTTCCAGAGGTCAGCTCAAGTCACGGGGGGCGCTTGTCGTCCCTTACTCCTCCTCGGCTGACCGGTGGCCATCGTCCACCTATCCTCCCTCATCCACCTGTCCTCCCTCGTCTGTGACCCGGTTCTCGGTGCCGGGGAGAGGTTTACCTTTCACTGAGTCATGCGATGAGGAGGGACAGAGATGTGACCGCGTTTGGTTTCTGTCCCTCCCTCCTTGGAGACAGGAAGAGGTTCTGTGTCACTGCGAAGGCCACTGCTTCTGTCTCAGGATCCGGCCGGCAGGAAGCTGTCGCTGCTCCCTGGCTGCTCTGCTGGCTCTTGAGTTTCCCCCTGCCACTCTGCACAGCTGCCCCACACCTGGGCCACCCTCGGGGGACCGTTTGCGGCCTGTGTGCATGGTCTGGGCCTTCTGCTTGAGGAACAAGTTAAGATCAAATTCACTGTTTTTACAAAAGCTTTTTGTCGGTAACAGCATGTTATGTTATTCATCTGGGCTTGTTTCTAGGACTTTTTATATATTCTTATTCTGGGGGGGATAAAAATAACGGGAGAAAATTCATACCTCCCTATTTGCTGAATATATTAAGATTTGCTTTTATCTTTTGCTTTCTTCCTTTTAACCTAATATAGTAATAATAGTTGCTAAGTTTTTCTTCTTTTGGGGTACTGGGAATTGAACCCAGGGCCTTCTCACTGAGCTACATCCCAGCCTTTTATCTTTCTATTTTGAGGTAAGTTCTTACTGAATTGCCCAGATAGTTGTTAAACTTGTGATCCTCCTGCTTCAGCCTCCCACAGGACTGGGGTTAGGCACGCACCACAGCACCCGGCTGGCTTTTTGACGGCTTGTGTGCCTTGTGTTGTTTTACTATCTTACATGAATTAGGTCATTTAATCCTCACCACGGCTGCATTGTGAGGAAAGAACTGTGCCTATTCTTACTGTACAGATAAGAAAGTGAATGTAGAAAGTGGTTAGAAGGATGAAGCCAGAAAGTGGACTCGGGAAATGTGGCCCATGTACCACCCCCGAAGGTCCCCTCGCCTTCCAACACAAATGCTCCTGTCCCCAGGTAACCCCCTCCAGGCTCGCTAGGCCTGGTGCTCCCGAGTCCTCGACTCCAGCCTCCCAGGCCTCATCCTAGGGTCTGGACTGCAGGGCACAGTGTAGTGCTGGCTGTCAGGAGGGTGGAGAGGCCTCAGGTGGCTGGACAGGCACTGTGCAGCTATGTGTGGTGCCTCCACCCTGCACCTCCTGCCCGTGGCCTCCGACTTGTCACGCCGTCTGTGCTCAGGTCTTCACCCCTTGTGGCCTCTGCGCTGTGCATGGCAGGTGCCAGGTGCTGGCAGGACACACACCACGTGCTTGGCTGTGGCTGCAGAGTTGAATGAGGGGCAGGTAGAGAGTGGCAGGACGGTGACACACCTGAGATCGGGGGTGGCTGGGAGCTGTGAGAGGTGGCACCATGGACGAGGCTCCCTGACGGGGAGCTGCGGTCCCCAGGGCCGTGGTGCCTTCCTCTGGATGCCAGCTGGGGCTCGGGAAATGTAGGTCTTAGGCTGCAGCCTCCTTGGGCTTTCGGAACAAGAGAGGGAGAGCAAGGAAAGGGTTGGGAGATGAGTGTGGGCTTCAAAGGAGAGTGAAGTACATCAGATAACTCGCTCCTCAGTTCTGGGCACTTCCCTGGGTTCATCTTGTGTGCACTCCTCTGACAGGTATGCAGCCGTCCGTCCGTCCGTCCCTCCATGCACCCTCACACTCTCTGTGTGTACTTACATATATACAGCATCCATCCACCCACCTCTCCATCTGTCTGTCCAGCCAGCCAGCCCTTGAGGTCCTGATGTTCCCACCTGTTTCTGTCCCACACCAGTGGCCCCTTCCTACGAGCATTCCCAAGAGCGCTGTATCAGTATCAGTGAAGGCTCTTTCAGTGACAAGTGCCAGAAAATCTAACTCAAATTGGCCCCAGCAAAAGCCAGAAAACAATAAGAAAACCAACCCGAAAAGGCTCGGAAAGGGTTGAGGATGTCCTGGCTCCTGGTGGTGGCTGGAGTCCCAGTGGTACCCCAGGTGGCCCATTTCCAGGTCCCATGGGGGCAGGATGGCAGTAGCAGCTCCAGCCCATCTCTTTCCAGCAGGGAGAAAGGGGAGGGCAAGAGAAGGATGCAGAGAGAGGGCGACGGGGCCTGGCCCAGTGGACCTGTGTCGCGAGCAGGTAGCAAAGGTAGTAATAATGGGCAGACGCCAAGTGACTTTCTGAATGCCTCTTTAATGAATTTTGCACTAAATGTTTGCTCTCCACACCCTGCCAGTCTGAATGGTCCGAGGCAGAGCTGTGAGCTGTCATGGAAGGAAGCGGGGCACCAGGCGGCCGCAGAGGCGGCTTCGGGAGCCCTGCGCTCAGGCCTGGCGAGTCTGGGTGCGGTGGGGGGCAGAGACTCGGATCCCAAAGTCAGGGCCGGCCCCGCTCCAGTGTGCTGTGCGCGCCCTGAACCCAGTGGGAGTGGAGCACTCGGTCTTTTACATTTTGGTTTCTTCTCTGAAATGCACCCATCCATGCCCTGGTCGCTCTCCCCTTGTTGTCTCTCCTGAAATTGGAACCTAGAACTCAAAGGGAGCCGGCCTTCTCCTGAATGTCTCGGAGGGGAAAAAAAAGCTTTCAGGCTGCTGTTTGCATGGATTCAGCAAGACAAGAAAGCAGAAGAAACAGTTAATTCACTTGACAGTTGTTTCATCAGGGTCTGTGAAGTAGAAATCTAATTTTTTTTTTTTTGCTCAGAATCAATTTGGCATTAAAGGCTCCCATAATTTGATTCCATCAATCATGCACTTTAATCTAGACATCGTGGGGATTTGAGTCAGGCAGAACTCCCAGTGCAAACATTTGTAGAGCTGTATGCACGCGTTCAAACTATCTCCTCGTGTGTGCCTGGATTTATTCATTGGAAGACAGAGAAAAGTAAGTGCCACCCAACCCCATGTTTCCCTGAAACGAAGGCATAACTGGAGATAAAAATACCAACCCCACCAGTCTGTCCCAGCCCTAGCTGCCATTACAGAGTGGCCACTGAGCAAGCTTATTTTGCAGTTAGGTCTGACTTTAGGGAAACACGGGATTAGATTGGTGGATGGATAGATGGATGGATAAATAGATCAATGGACGAATGGGTGGATGGGTGCGTAGAGGGATAGATGAATGAATGAATGGACGGATGGCGGGACAGACAGACAGACAGACAGCCCGGTAGTGGAGTGCCTCGCAGTGGATGGCATTTGCTACGCGCTGTATGTGTCGCATGCACTCCTGCACACGTGCACGTGAACTCGTTCGTCCTTGTGATGGCCTGGAAGACCCAGTCTTACGTGTGGAGGAACAGGCTCAGAGAGACGCCTGCCACATGTAGCCACGCAGCTCGGCTGGAGGAGCTGGGGCTGGACCCAGGCTGCCGGGCTCCGGGCCCCATGTTTTTGCTGTCTCTGCACGCCTGGGGGGAGGCGACACGAGAGGAGGCCCGGGCAGCGCTGGGGACACCCGCAAACCCGGTGGCACGCGGGCAGCAGACGTCTCATAGCCAAGGGAAAGAGATGGCAGCAACTCGCCTGCAGGACTGTCCTGAGGCCCCGTGAGGTGACACAGATAAACTCCTCCCGCTCCTCACCTCCCCTCGGCTCCCTGGGCACCAGGGGCCGTGAAAGAGGTGGTGGTCATAAACCATCTGTGACGCCCCGTGGTGGGAATGGCATACCCAGCCATTTATTCGTAAAGTGGACCTCACACTCCATGCTGGGGACACAGAGAGACTCCCGGGGAGAGGCCCGGCCTCCCTTCCATGCCTCTCCCGGCTCCCTGTTCTCAGGGCTTGTCCGAATGAGAAGACTCGAACTCAGAACCCCACCTCCTTGGTGGCCCGGGCCGTTCTGAATTCCACTTGTACTTCGGCTCCACGGCCTCCTGGACTCACCCTCCTGGAGCAAGGTGACAAGAGTGGGATGATGGGAAAAGCCTCAGAGGGTGGGGCGGATTACCTCGTGCTACAGCTTCAGGGTTAGGACCACTTTGGTGAAGGCTCTCTGGTGGGGAGATAATACCTGCAAACGTGCTGTGGGGAGGTGAGTCTCCTGTTTTGAAAGCAGAAAACAGAATTTCCCGACATGTCTTGACATTTTTTGAGGTAACCAAATCTGAAAGGGGGTCCTGGACCCGGAGAAAGCGTCGCATGCATCTTGCTTGCGGGGACTCAGTTCCTTTCTGTATAAATCCCCAGTCCCTGTCTGTGGATTTGGCCATAGCAACTCTGTTTCCCTTCTTACATTTTAGATGGAACAGATTAAAAGGGCCAATAAACTGTTCACCAACGACTGTATCTTTCTGAAGAAAACGCTGAGCATCCCAGTCCTATCAGAGCAGCCTTTGTTGTTCAGTGGACTGAGCTCCTTCGATTCTCCAGAAGATGAAGCTGGTGACAGCTGCTCTCCTCCTGCGGAGGAGCTGGCGGTGGCGGGCAGCGAGCTCCCTCCTCCCAGTCCCCAGGAACCGGCCCCTCGGCCTGTGCAGCCTGAGGAGGTGTCGGCCAGAGACTTCTTGCACAGACTGGACCTGCAGATCAGACTGTCCACTCAGGAGGCCCAGAGGCTGAAGCGGGAGAGCAGGTAAAAGTGCCTGGTACCAGCGCCAGGGGCTGCAGAAGCCAACTGAGAGGGCCCTGATGACATGGGGGTTTTGTTTGTTTGTTTGTTGGTTGGTTTTTTGAGACAGGATCTCACTCTGCATTTCAACTCACTATGTTGTGTGATCCTCCTGCCTCAGCCTCCCAAGTTCTGGGGTTATAGGCATGTGCTACCACTCCCAGCTTTTCCCGATGAATCTTTAAATTTAGGAAATCTAAGGCTGAGGCTGCCACAGTGCTGTTGCCTCTGTTACTTGCTGTAAAAAGTAATCATAGCAACTCCTGCTAGTCAGCAATTCTGGATGGCAGCCTGGAGTCTCATGGGCACCTTCCAGGGGTAGCCTACCCTGAAGGAAAAAGGATGCTCACATCTTCTCCTCTGCTTGTTACTAAGTGTCTCCTACATAACATTTCTTGTGGACACTTATTTATTTAGTGCTGGAGCAAAGCTTTTTTCTCTCCTGTAGACTGGATGACCTTCTTCCTTTACAACTCCGAGAGGGCATATCCTGCTGTATTTCCCTTTTCTCCCTGGCTCCTGGGAAGCTTGTGACTAAAATTGATCCTCAGGTTTAACTATTTATCTGTCTTACGGGTAGCATGTGGATTTCCTTTTCTTTTCCTTAGTGCTTATTCTTTGTTTCTGTGTCAGTCACCCTATTACTTGTATGCCATGTTATAAGTACCTTAAGTCTTCCTGAGACAGAGGTAGAATACATAGAAGACATAAACAAACGAAAATATGAATACAATCTAGTATACATTTACTATATATAGAAATAGTATATAAACAATTACCGTTATTTCTTTCAAGGACTGAGACACCAATAGAAGTCTTTGTGTTTTAATGACTTTCAGGGCGTGTTCCGTCCGCCTTTACTCCTGCCCCTGCTTTGGCGCGGAGACACGAAGCTATGTAATGTGTACATGATTTTCGGAATAGAGTTTTAAACACTGAGCTTTGCTGAATTTCTGTTTTGCAGAGATGAAGAAAGTCCCTACGCGACCTCCCTCTATCACACTTAGACGGGCTTCGTGCTGAGTGGGTTGCGGAGAGGGTCGGAGCAGGAAGACTCGGGGCTCCTCGGGCCGCGTCTCCCGGCCTGCGGCCCGTGCCCCGGCCCCGAAATCCGTCTTTGTCCTGGCGCCGCAGCTGCAGTGTAACCGAGCGCATCACTCCGGCGGGCGGCAGTAGTTTTAGCCTCGCTTTTACAGTTGCTGGTCTGTGTCAGTCCCAAGAGGCTGCATATTTACGCCGAAGACAGTGTGCATCTCCTGATAAAACCCAGCTCTCGTGGAAACCCTGGTGGCTGTATAAGTAATGGCCGAATAGCTGTGTGTTTGTAAGAAATGCTATATAAATATTATATTTCAATATGTATTACCTATTCTGTATTAATGGAAAGAACCGAATTTTGTCTGCTATTTTGTAAAAATGATCTACAAAAGTCTGAATGAGAAAATAAACTATGTTTTCATACATGAGTCTTCCTTTTTTTTCAACAAAGGGGGAAATAAATTTGATTTTTTTAAAAACAAAAAATTGGTACTTCTCTCTTTTTTTTTTTGGTACCGGGGATTGAACTTGGGTCCTTGCGCTTGCAAGGCAGGCCACCGAACCACTGAGCTAAATCCCCGGCCCAGTGCATCTTTGATACACACAGTGATCACACTCATCACAGGGAACTTTACCTGTGCATGGCATATCTTGCTTCTTCCTTTTTTCCCATCCCCCCTTCAACCTCTCTTCCTCTCCTTATTTACAAAAGCTATATTTCCATTTTCCTTCTATTTCTCTTTTTCCTCGTCCTTTCTTTTCTTTCCCTTCCCCCTCCCTTGTTCCCCTTTTCCTTTGAACATTTTCTTCCCATTTCCCAATATCTGTTATGTAGTTTGGTCCTTGTTTCCACTTTCAATTTCTCACACCAGAGGAACAATGCGGCATTTAAACACGTGTCCATTTATTTCACTTAAGAGTGTGGTCTCCAGGTCCATCCATTTACCTAGAAATGTCTCAAGTTAGTCCTTCTTTATGACAGAGTAGTACTCCATTATATAAAAAACCACATCTTCTTTATCCATTTGTCAGTTGATGGGCATTTGAACTGTTTCCAAATTTAGCTGTTACAAACTGTGCCACTGTAAACATGGGTGAGCATATGTTGTTGTAGGATGCTTTTCATTCTTTCAGGAAGATACCAAGAAGGGGAATAGCTGGGTCAAATGGAACCTCTAGTTTTTTAGTTTTTTGAAGAATCTCCACACTGAATTCCACAGTGGTCGCACCAGTCTACACTCCCAGCAACAGTGGAGAAGGGTCCTTTTCCCCCACAGCCCTGCCAGCATTTGTTATTGGTTATTCCTCTACCAGTCATTCTTTCTGGAGTGAGGTGGAATTTCAGCGTTGTTTTAATTTGCATCTTTTGAATGGCCAGTGATAGTGAACACTTTTTTCATATACTTATTTGCTGTTCTACTTCTTCACCTGAGAAATGTCATTTCATTTAAAGATGCCCATTTTTTTGGATTGGGTCTTTAAACTTGGGGGTCTGATTTGTTTTAGTTCTTTATATATTCTAGATGGTAGTCCTTTGTCCAAGGAACAGCTGGCAAAAATTTTTTTCTCACATTGTGGTTTGTCTCTCCCCTCTGTTGGCCATTTCTCTTGCTGTGAAAAAGCTTTTTAATAAGATGAGATCCCAGTTATTTGTACTTTGTGATATTTCCTGTGTGATTGAGGTTTTGTTCATAAAGTCTTTGCCTACACCTAAGTCTTCAAGAGTTCTACCTATTCTATCTTCCACCAGATTTAGTGTTTCTGTTTGAATATTTAGATTCTTGATCCATTTTGATTTTAGTTTAATGCACAGCAAGAGATATGGGTCAAGATTTAATCTTTGGCATGTGGAAAGCAAATTTTTCCAGCACTATTAAAGAGTCTGTCTTTTTCCCAGTGAAGGTGTTTGGCTCCTTTACCAGGATAAGTTGGCTGAGTCTGGAGTTGTTTCTGCATCTTTCTAATATGTTCTATTAATCCTCAGGTCTTGTTTTTTTTTTTTTTTTTTTTC